CCAATTAGTTTTAGCACACAAAAGGCTTGCATTTTGAAATATCTTCTAGTTGGCGGTTAGCGGCTCCCTCCAGTTTCCCCAGGGCGCTCCATTACCACTCTGCACAATAGGCTAATCATCCAGCTAGTTACTCAAGACCCAAAACCCCCACTTACTTCTCCTGTCAAGCACAACTGTAAGAATAGGCCAACAGCAGCAAAAACACACATTTTATATCTTAACATTAAAGATTTTATCTTACGCAAAATTGACATGTTTGAGTCAGAGGCGGCGCTACCATTAGGCAACAGTAGACGCCACCTAGAGCCCCTGAACCTGACACGGCCCCCAACCAACTGCCCTTAGTGCTACTACAGGGTATCTCCAGGTTTGACTACCCCAAATTTAAGACCTTTTTAAGACCACTTAAAGGTTGTATAGAGGATTTTTTTAAGGGAAGAGAAATACAGCGACAGTCCTCGTGCCTGCGTGACACCACCTTCCTCCTCCACAGCTCCCTCATTAGAAACATCTCCTCCCGCCTCTTTACTTTAGAAATCACGCTTGTTTCCAGCCAGTGCGCGTTCAGAATTACCGTTGAAGTGACCTGTCTACAAATAATTTATCGACCGACGCGTCAGTTTTTAGTCCCTTTGTCTGCTTCGGTCGCGCCATCGCTGGAAGGAATCTCCAAGAATCACCTCAGTTTATCTTCGCTCCTTTTCCCCTTCTCTTCGTCTTTCAGCGACCTCAAAAACGGACTTTCTTTTGCGGCGAACCGGTCGTGGATTCTCGTCGGCCGTCGCGACAAACTTTGTGCGAAATGTGAGGAAGTGACAATTTGAAAAAGCCTCTAAGAACCGCTGCGTAAACCACGTAATCCCTGCGCGCCGACGAGTCAGTTACACTAGAAACGTAGGGAGTTTGATTGACAACCTAACAGCCAATAGAAAAAGAGGCAGCCTCGTTTTCTATTGGATGGTGTTTATCTGGCCTCACTACGTTCACAGTTGATAGATTTTCATTCTTTTTTTTTTTTTGGTCATCATAATTACAAAGCTGCGTCTCTCTAATGGTATTTTAACCTTTCATTGACAATCTGAAACTGAAAAAAAATCCTCCATAAATCCTTTAAATGAAAATTAAGACCAACATTGCACCCATTATGCAGGCGAAAAACACCAGATCCAATTCTAATAATGATCATTACTCATTGCTTTAAATAAAAAAAAAAAAAAAAAACTTTAATAAAATCTCATTCAGAACTCATTTATAGTAGGATGCATTGCTTGTAAAATGGCCAAAAAATCATTTATAACATTCTAACAAGACAAATTAAGTATTGTTTGCGCATACTCCAAATTAGACGTTCATTCACGTTACAGTGATTTGACGTTGTTGTTTTTTTTCTGTCCCTCCATTTAACATTGCACTGCAGCCCAACTGAGTACACAAAAAAATAGGCTAATGAAATTTAAGACCTTTGTGAAAAAAATAAGACTTGGACAACATAATTTAAGACTTTTTAAGGCCTTAATTTAGGAACATGAAATGTAAGACCTTTTTAAGACTTTTAAGACCCCCTGACTACCCTGTACTAATTGCCGAGACCTCAGAGCAATTTGATTTTCTCTCAATATGATAATAAATGAGAGTAGTTTACTTTTGAACAAGAAACACTATCAAAATTGTATCTGATTTCGCTTTCATGTTAGAATGAACTCGTCATCTTGATCCTGATTTGAACATAATCATAGCACAATTATTATTATCCCAGTACAATAAGAGACTCCACCACATTCAGTACATTTAAAACTATCTGAAATGATGGCTTAAGAGAAACCAAATTGGTAACCATTTATTTTATGCTCCTATGTAAATGTCAGTGTTGTAGGTCATGATTGTGTCTCATTGTGCTGTTTCTTCTTCTATGTCTGTCTATTGTGTCATCATTTTGTTCTGGGGCCGTACCAACCTATTTCGATCGTCTCATGTCATATAAACCCCAAAAATAACAATAAGTTCTATCTGTGCAGAGAAACACAAATCTATTACAGTCTTTTTAAATTGATGAACTCTTTCTTTTACAAAATATTATAATATTATGAACAACCTCTCTCAACACAAAGTTTTAACCTGACTTGTATGTAAACAGGAATAAGTCAGTTGTAAAATCCTGCAGGCTCCACTTTTCTCAGACATTTTGTTGAAGGGTAGTAGTAGTCGTCCTTTAAGAGCGTTTGGAAAGAGACTCTTCATTTGTGCTGCTCTAGTGGGAGGGGCCACGTACAGAGACACTGGAGACCAAATTACCAATATTTTAATAGAAAGTGAGTAGAAAATCACAAGATTAAAGTCTTGGATGTCAGGCCGTTGTTTGAATGTGGTCTATTGTGTGACGCGTCTGATGTTCTTATGTCTCTGTCTCTCTGACCTGTCAGGGAGTACAGATGAAAAGTAGTCTTCGGGCTAATTCTGACGTGTTCACAAGTATATGTTTGTGAATGTGCATTGTCCCTTTTAAATAAAGAAAACTAAACAAAAAACAAAAAACTAATCATATGTAATAGATGTAAACAAAAATGTAATTGTACCAGCAAACAATAAAACTACTTTCAGTTCTGGTTATCTAGTAGGCGACCTAACTAATAAGACAAGATTCCAATCCACCATAATTCAAATAGAGATGTGCATGTCTCAAGAACAATGGAGAAAAACAGACAATAAATATATTAACAAACAAACAAATAAAAAAAAAAGCAGTGCATTATAATGAAGACCCCAAACTCAAGTTCACCCAGGGCCCCCAAATTCCTAACTCCACCACTGGTTTGAGTAACCCTTTGTGATTACTTTGTCTACATTTCCAAAGCTAAAAATGCACTGTTCTACCTTGTGATGTCATGAAGCAGTAGTTTTCAAGTTAACAGCTGCCTTTTACTTTTAGTTCAGTAGAGATTGGCAATTCCAGGGCTGAAAAAATCCAAATGATTCTAGAGAAAGTGTATGGAGTTTAAAAAAACAAAACTATATATGCAGGGTTTGTGTGTTAAATGTGTATGTTTTTCACAAAGCTCACACGAATCCACTTTATGTAATACAGGACCTTTAATCTTTTGTCACTTCTCCAAGACCTGGTGGAGAGGCAGCAGTCCAAGTGGAGATGCCAAGACTTCCCCCTCCCGAGACACTTCCCCCGCTTCTCCTCGTTTAGGCGATAATGAGCTAAATCTTTTGTACCTAAATGAACACACCGTGAAATGGCTCTGGTATCACTCAGACTGAAAACAATGTCTTTAGGGACAATGACCAATTCTGACCAATTATCGCAAATGGATTTTTCATGTTTGGAAGAGGAAGTTTTTCTATTGTAGCCGATTGCTCTTGGAATAATTGTGTATGTTCTGAGGCAGTTTAATTTGAGCCCATTGATTCCATCTTTTCAAAGTCCAGCTCCAATCCTCCGAGGCCAGATTAGTTCTCTGTATAAATTAGAAAAAGTATAGAACAGTCGGCCTGAACACAAATCCACTGCATTAGAACTCACTGGCTCTTTTCTGATGCTACATAAACTATTGTTTCTGTCTAAATTATTCCAATGCCATTAGGTAATCTTGTATTGTTCTAATTTGAAAGGGACATATTATGCCAAATCTACTTCTATGAGCTCTTAAAGGTCATATGTTACACAAAGTTGACTCTTGTGACCTTTAAGCCATGTTATAATGTTGTTATGACATCAAAAACATACCTGGAGTTGTGTTTTGTTTCATTCACACATTTATTTTTAGTCTGTCTACATCTTCAAAGCTCAAAATGCTCTGTTCCACCTTGTGATGTCATGAAACAGTAGTTGTCAAGTTAACAGCCTTACCTTTTACCAGAGGTGTAGTGGGTGTGGTACGTGGGGGTACACCGTTCACCCACTTTTCCCATCGTGAGATATATATAAAACAAAATAAAAATCTATATAAAATAGCTTACAATTTAAATGTCAAACCGGAGCTACTGGTTATGGTGAAAACAAATTGCATAGGTTCATGATATCTCCTGTACTGTCCTATAGTGACCTGCCACATGAGGGACCAGGACTGAACCAGGACTAAAACAGAACTAAACCAGGTCTAAGCCAGGTCTGGACAATCCCGGAGGTGCACCCATGTAGACTGTCGGGTGACCGCAAGCGGAAGGATCGGCGCAGAGCTTCGCGCCCCATGGGGCTAAGCGCATTGCCCGATCATGTTTTGTGGACATTCTGCTCCGCGGGTTCGGGGTTCTCTCTGTTGCTCTCAAGTTCAAGATTAGTCCTGGTTTAGTCCTAGTTTAGATCTGGTTTAGAATTGGTTTAGACCTGGTTTAGTCCTGATTTATTCCTGGTTCACTTCTGGTTTAGACCTGGTTTAGACCTGGTTTATTCCTGGTTCAGTCCTGGTTTAGTCCTCCTGGTTCAGTCCTGGTTTAGTCCTGGTTTATTCCTGGTTCAGTCCTGGTTTAGTCCTGATTTATTCCTGGTTCACTTCTGGTTTAGACCTGGTTTAGACCTGGTTTATTCCTGGTTCAGTCCTGGTTTAGTCCTCCTGGTTCAGTCCTGGTTCATGTGATTATGAACAACGTTAATGTTACTAACCTGATTCTGCATCATTTTGAGTTAAAAAAAACATCAAATATTATGTCACGTAAAAAATCCCCACTACAACACTGCCTTTTACCTTAAATTCAGTAGAGATTGGTAAATCCAGGGGTGAAATCATCCAAATGATTCTTGTATGATTCGAGTGCTTTTCAGTTTGAAAGAAGAATTCATCCTAAATAGGCCTGTGCAGGGTTTGTGTGTTAAACATGGATGAATGAAATAAAACACAACTCCAGGTGTGTTTTTGATGAGGAAACATGGAAATATTATAACATAAACCAGAAAAAAGCATAATATGGACCCTTTAAGCAGTCAATAATTCTTAATAATCATAAAATAATTAAAAGTTGCTCCATCATGATTTTAATGTTTTTATTTTGTTCCACAGGTGAAGAAGATAAACCGAAACTTTCCAGTCAACCAGCAGGTAGGAGCCTCAGCGCACCCCCACTGTTACTTACATTTAAGTTTTTTTGTTTTTTTTTTATTCCAAACACGACTTTCTCATCCTCATCTCAGCTGAATATAACACGCTCCGGCAGTTTGTCAGAAAAAGGACCCCTATTACCGACTATTGCAACACAAGTCTGCTGTTTGCATCACTTCACTCCATCCAGCGAGGAACGTTAGCGTAATAAGTTATGTCAGGCTAAACATCACTTCTCTTTTGTGGCCCTTTCATTTGCCCGAGAACACAGAAGTAAGTTAACATGACAATTTATCCACGGAAATTTAAGCGAATGAGAAATATGTCCCCAATCTTTCACTCCCTTATTCCCTCAATGAGCTTCTAAACCAAGAAACTGTGATGAAGAGTTGTAATGCAATGTTTTCTGAGAATTGCAGTAGTAATGTAGGATCTTTATTCTATTGTGCTGGTCTAACTTTTGATGAATTTTCACTGACATTGGTTTATGTGTTGGCAGATCATCTATATGGGCTGGGTGGATGAGAAGGAACAGGACTCCGTGCAAGATCGAATGTATTCACCGAAATTCCTTGCTCTGAGGGGATCTTCACTATTCAAGTTCACGGCGCCTCCGGTAAGTTCATTCAAACGTTATTTTATGAATGAAATTGGATAAATTGATGTTTTGCAGTCTGATATGTTTTAAGATAGTTTGTAAGCTCAAGAAAAAATACTAAATGGATTGAAACAACACATTTTCAGGAGCCTGTGATCAATACAAGCATTCATGGTCCTGTTTAGGTGTTTGATTTTACACAAAAAGGTGAGTGACGACCATATTTTTCAGACTATAAGTCGCTCCAGAGTATAAGTCACATCAGCCAAAAAATGCATAATGAAGAAGAAAAAACATATATAAGTCACACCGACTATAAGTTTCACTTTTTGGGGGACACTTATTTTATAAAATCAGAGACCAGGAACAGACATTTCATCTCAAAAGGCAAGTTATAGTAATAACAGAATAGAGAACAACAGGCTGAATAGGCGTCTGGTATGTTAATGTAACATATGAACAGATAAACTAGAGCATAAACAACAGAACATTACAAGTTTACCAAACTCTCCATCTCACTCCAAATCATTAAATCCACAGAATTCTTCACTTTCTGTGTCATTTCTGAGCAACTCCACCACCTCCAGAGGTAAACGGAGCACCACTTCCTCTTCTGTGTAGCTGTTGTCAGACTCAGCATCAGTTAGAATTATTCTGGCATTTCTGAATCCCGACAGGATAATTTCGGTTGTCACTGAAGTTCAGGCTTTGTCGATTCATCCAGTCACTTCCAGGAAAGTTGCATAGCGGACCCTCCCAGTTGCCGTGAAGCTGTGTTCTCCATCCACGCTTTCCGCCAGTCCCTCACAAGTTTCTTGCTCACTCCAACCTTTTTTCCTGCTGCTCGATTACTGTTTTCGCCTGAATACTTCACTACTTGCAGCAGGACAGTGGCTTTTTCTGCAGGAGACATGCGCAGGCTGTTAACGGAACATGAACAGTTCTTCAGATAACTACAGCATAAAAAATAGAACAGAACACGTTTACCAAGTCTCCATCTCACTCCAAATCACTAAATCCATTCAATTCTTCATCCTCAGTGTCACTTCTGAGCAACTCTGCGACCTCCAGAGGTAAACAGAGCACCGCTTCCTCTTCTGTGCAACTGTCGTCAGATTCAGCATCAGTTCCAGTTAGAATTATTTCAGCCTTTCTGAATCCACACAGGATGGTTTCGTTGTCTTTATGTTTTTGTTTAAAATTAAAATTTTCAGTGGTACAGAAGTTATAGTGCGATCGACTGACATGATACCAGACAGGACAGCTGCTCTTTCTGCAAGAGACATGCGCAATAGAGCAAAGTGAGAGTAATACAGGAGTAATAGTAGTAGCAGATACTGACACACAAGACTAGAGCGCCCTCTGTCAGTATGAAAATTTTAATCTATAAGTAGCACCGGAGTATAAATTGCAGGACCATCCAAACCATGAAAAAAGGTGCAACCTATAGTCTGAAAAATACGGTTACTAAAAACTGTTGCTTCAATTTTCTTTGAGAAGGACTTGTTCATAACAGCACAAATCATCTCACATGTTGTACTTCAGTTCTTTATGATCACAGTCTTTAAACAAAGCATAGATTAAAATGTAAGCTGAATAACAGAGCTTCAGACAGAGCAGTGCCTCCTTTTAGCTTCAACTCCTCAGGGAATGTCGATGAGTTCAGCTACAAAGTATCGTGGGAGAAGTGGTGGGCAATGTGTCAAAAAAAATTAATAAATAATGCCATTTTCTTTCATTTTACTATTGGAAAAGAAAATCAATTTGAAAGGACGCAATTAGCAACTCACAAAGGACACCATTTTTGAAGAACTGTAATTTCCTCCACAAATGACACACTATCCTGAATCCTATTCTGCCTAAAAACTGCTGTCCCTGTAGTTTAAATCTGTGCAAACATGTTCCAAAAATACATGCTTGATTTAGTTTGTCAGTTCATTATTCAGTCTTTTTGGCAATTCTCCTTGACGTGCTAAAATGTGAAACCCTATTATTAAAACATGCACATAATCATTCATAAAAATACTAGAATGTGTTCGCTTTTCCAAACAGCACATAATATAGGACCTCTTAGTTTGGAGGCAAGAGCACAAAGTAAGAAGAGAAGATGGAGGAGCTGGCAGAGCTTCGAAGGTAATAACAACAGAGGGACAGCTGATGTCAGATAGTCTCTTTGGGAGATAAAGTCAGACAAGTCAGATTAGAAGGGTTTATTTAAAGAAATGAAAGTAACAGTATTTTGATAGCAGGAAATTGAGTGATGGAAATATAAAAAAAAACATTGTACTCCAAAACTTAAATAGCTCAATTTCTTTCATTATTGATACTTTGCATAGGGTGACCAGACATCTCCTCCTTTTGGGACCAAAAACATCCAGGAGGAATTTTTAAATTATGCCAAAATGTCCAGGATTTTGACTCTCTTGGTTGACAGCTGGGACACTCATCTCAGTTTTGGCAACAATCTTTACTCATCTGATCAGATACAATCTCATACAATAAGATCTTATTACTTACTTCCTTGGATACAATCACTTCTCCAGCACCGTGCGTCTAAACTCTGCCTTCCCGTCAGCGAGGGCTCAGACCGCTCCTTTGATCAGGAAATGCACCTACATTTATTAAGCGTATTATTACGAAGGCACATTAGCTGCTGTAGAGAGGTTGACGCAGATCATGACGCAGTTCTTCTCATCTCAAAATCAACACTCAACAAAGTGGCCTCATATTAGCAGAGATACGTTCATAAATCCTAGATGAAAAAGTTTGTAGCGTCGCAAACTCAGACGCACGTAACCGCGCTGTGGTCATGGTATACAGGAATAGTCTGGCCTTCAGCAGCGGTACCTCATGATAAATACAGGATGAATGCAGGAAAAAATGTGTTCAGACGTCCTGATAAAGGCTAAAGTCTGTGTTCGTCCTGCTCTGAATCACTGCCTGTGAAAAGTGGGCTTTATCAAAGCAGGGGACAGGGGACATAGACACTGTCAGGAAAATAACAGGCTAATAATAGGCTACACTGGTTTATATTATTGAGCTATGGCTTAGTAGACCTCTAATATGCAATGAAATATTGTAAATTGTCAAAAATTCCCCTGATGAGGACTCCAGACCCCTGACCGTGCTGCTCGATTATGGAAAAAATCAATCAATATTGAAATCATGATTATTCGAACAATTATTTTTTAGTTAAACAATGCATTTATTCAGCTAAAAAAAAACAAAAAACACTTTCTTATTGATAACTTACATAAAACTTTCAGACTGGAAAATAAATATAGGCTAAAAATATGTACCTTAGATATACTTTGAACATGAAATAGAAAAACATAAAAGTATCCAAAATAAACTATATATCCAGCTGTTCTACAATCTCTATATTAAAAATATCCCAAAATAAAAGTTTGTTTCTACTCGATTATATGAGTTTGGAGATCGTTTGACTCACAAAACGAAATCACGATCAAAATTCTATTAACTGCACATCCTTACACATAATATCACACATTTGTAATATTCAATTCAAACACCAAAAGAAATCGCAGTTACAAAGTACAAACATTGTCATTTTTTTCGCCCCAAACCCAGTGTCCTCCTTCTCGATAACTCCAATATTGTAATCCAAACTTTGCAGCTAACGTCATCAATATTCCCTGGGAGTATGATGCTAATTGTAGGCCCTGCTCTGTCTGAAAATTTGAGCTTTAGGGCCTGTTTACACGGGTAAAAACGAAAAAATATTTTATCGTTGTATCGTATCGTTTAAAAGTTGAATACGCTCCTCTGTAGCGTTTCCGTCTACTAGGGCTGGGAAGATGCCGATACGATACATACCTCGATACATAGGTCACGATACGATACATATTTCGATACAGGGAACTTATGATTCGATATGATATATTTAAAATTGATTCGATACCGTTCAATAAAAATAAAGGCTAAATCATGTCTGTGTTACTAAAAGTTTTTGTTAAACCACTTCTTGTACAAAGTGAATATGAAACAAAAACATTTTAATCCTCAAAACTGTAAAAATGTCAAATGTGTCACATGCACTGCCAAAAATTAATTCTAGCCAAGTTAAGATGACTTGAATTAAGAAAGTTTTATCATGATTTGAGTAAATTCCACTTGACAAGTTAAATTATCTATCAGCGGAATACGATTTTTTTGTTCTTAAAATATGAAAATACAACTTGCTACACTTAAAAAAAGAAAAACAGCAACCCTTAAACTAAGAAATGAAATTGAATGTCGCTTGAATTTAGAAAAACACTTATTCCATTGGTAGAGTCGACTCAGATAAAGTCAAATGTTCTTAATTTTCATTTTAACTAACTTTTTTGCTGTGTGAATGAGTTTCCTTCCATTAAACAAACAACAAAACTGTCGCGCTGTAACAAAATAATTTAGTAAAATACACAAATAATACTCAATATGCGATATATCGATACAGCAGCCCACGATAGCGATACTGTATCATTACATTAAACGATACGATATATCGATATTTCAATATTTTTGCACACCCCTACCGTCTACACTGCTCAAGACGCCAAACTGCTCACGTCGCGTACACGTTTACGTCACAAACATCACCACCTAGCGTCACCACCGAGCCGCCTGACACCGTACCCAATCGAATTCCACACACATTTGCGTCACCGTATGCTCGCAGATTTCCTCCTGAAAACGCTTGTCGAAACATGGTATAAAAAGTGAAGACGCGACTCCATTTTTGCCTCTTCTGTTCAGACGTCATTCAGACATAGCCTTATTTCCTCGGACCACAAAGAGCTGATTTGAAGTTTCTCCCAAATGAAATCACAGTCACAAGCTCCTAAACAGAACCATGAGCGTTTATATTCATCACAGGTTCCTGAAAGTGTGTTGTTTAAATCAGTTTTGTGTTTTTTCTCTGTTTTTTCTTTCTGGCGTTTGCGTTGTGCCACCATGGTAACCGCTCGATCGGCTAATGCTAAAGAACAGCTAGTTTACATCCACGAATACAAGTGGAGATAGTGAACCACCTTGACGCGCTCAACAACAGCCCAGACTTTACAGCAGCCCACCGGCACATCCCCTCTCCGTCACCCATTTTTCTTCTTCTCTCCTTTTCCGCTCGAGGGGAGAAAGTAGGAAGCAGCTCACTCATAATCATTTGCGGCGCATCGATCTCGTCTCAGATTGATGTAGATCATTAAAAGTGTTTACATTTTGCCAGCCACTTAAGTGATTATGACAAGAGGGATAAGCTGTCCGGGCCAGTGGAGATGAGAAAAGATGGATGGATAGCTCCAGTGGCCTCGCTCCGCTGCTACAAATGGAAAATGCTAATGCTACGACAGGCTAACGGAATATGTCATGGCGCGTCTGCTAATACCGGAGGGACTTTAGCTGCATTCATCAATATGTGCAAACTCAATTCAAATGTGCCACAATCGCAGAGCATAGCACGGATCTACATCAATAGGACTTTTAGAGAGCACTGTTCTGTTACAGTATTGTGAGTAATTCAGTGTCAGAATTGAATCCTTCAAGACCTAAGGGCAATTTTAGTACATTTGTCCTCTCCTGGATTAATTTTGCTATTAAAACTCCCCCTTTTTTCAACACAAACTTTTATTTCACAAACTGCATGCTGTAGTTGTGTCATGTGGCTGTAATAAAAGTTATAGGACCAGAAATACAAATGAAAAAAGAAATAAATAAAATAAAATTCACACTCTTTCATACAAAACACACAGCAAACACGTATAAACAACTTTTTGGACATGAAAAATGTTTAATTTAGGGCCTTAGCTACAAACTTGCAAAATATCAAGTCTGTAAGTAAACTAAAAAATATCCTTATTATCCTCAAAACAAAAAACTAAAGTGCAGAGGCCCCATGACTTTCCTGGTGCCAGTCATGGAAATGGCTCATGTCAGGTCCAGGGCACAGAGCCACATCACTATCTACATTTCCATGGTGTTTATTTGGATTTGTACATTTTGAGTGAAATATCCCTTTTAAATAAAAATAGCAAGGGATGCAAAATTACACGCTGACAAACATGCATAATTTGCCATTTATTTGAGAAATAACTGCACTTAAAGAGGATTTTTCAATTGTTACGAACACAGACACTCAGAGTAGTCAACCATTTTAACTAACTACACTCTTTGGCAAACTTTGGACCAATCAAAATGGATGGAGCACATGCGTTTGGTGGAAAACAAAGTTCTTATTGGACACTTGTTTTCACACAGCATGTGTATGACGTACGATAATGCCAGAAATATGCTTGGAAAGCTGCAACTTTTCAAGGGACTTTTTCAGGTTTCTGTTTTGTTATGGTTGGAAAGTTATGCGCGGTTATTTAAAACATATACCCAGGTATCATATGATACCGTCAGTCTGAAAGAGTTAAGATGAATGGGGAAAAAACTTAAATTTATGTGACATTGTTTGGATCTGGTAGCTCCCTCGTTGACTTGAGATCCTTAATAGATCACGTCCGTCCCACAGTCACCAGCCTTGGCGTCACCCTAGACAGTGATTTTAAATTCGATGAGCAGATAAACGGCATCTTAAAATCAAGGTTTTATCATTTATGGCTTTTATCCAAAGTCAAACCTTGTTTATCTTTTAATCTTTTTGAACAGGTTGTGCATGCTTTTACTACTGCGATGCACTTTACACAGGCATCTCTCAAAACGCACTTTCCCATCTGCAGTTAGTCCAGAACTCCACGCCACGATTTTTAACAGGAACCAAAAAAACAAGAGCACATCATACCAATCCTCTCATCTTTTCAATGGCTTCCTGTTCGATTTAGAATTGATTTTAAGATTTCATTATTTGTTTTTAAAGCTTTGAATGGACTGACCTCACAGCAGGCCTCAGATCTCATCCAGATTTACTCCCCCGTGCTCGCTCTGAGGTCCGAGGGCCAGTTCCAGCTCATGGTGTCTAAGTCCAGACTTAAAACCAGAGGGGACGGGACCTTCTCTGTGGCCAGCCCCAAACTCTGGAACACTCTGTCCCCCCACGTCCCAACAGCCCTCACAGTGGAGTGTTTTAAGTCTCGTCTAAAGACCCACTTTTATTCTCTGGCTTTTAACACCGCGATAGTTGTGTGGTCCTCTGTGTCTTTTATTTATTTATTTATTTTATTTTATTCATTGTTCTGTTGATGATTTACTGTCTTTTGTATTCATTTGTGCATTTCAAATTGAAATGTGTTATGTAAATTACTGATTACTGGGTTAATAGTATGGTGAGAAATTGTTTTAACTTTTAAACGTTTTGTAGTTAAAATTAGGCATTTTGTGTGTAAAAATGCCCCAAATTGCACATGTTTTCACTATTTATGTATATCAGCAATATAAATAGAGGCATTTCCAACTTTCTTTATCCATATTAGGTACAGAACTTTTAGAGAGTGGATTTTCAGTGACAGCCGAAGCTATTTTACGCGCCCATTGATTCAGTTCAGGATTTGATCTTTTAAAAGAAATCTGTACAATCCTTCAAAATTGTGCAAGAGCGTGGAAAAAAATGTCAAAGTCAAATGTCATTTCCTATACATGAAAGTTGATTCAGTGAAATAGTCAAACATCTTCATGTGTTTGGACTGACCTTTTTGTTCTAGTTGAAAGCTTATTTGTTAAAGGTCCGATATTAGGCAAAACTGACTCCTGTGAGATTTAAGTCTTGTTATAATGCTGTTACCTCCTCTGAAACAAAGCCAGAGTTGTGTTTTGTTTCATTCACACATTTGCATTTCTAGTTTGTTTACATCTCCAAAGCTGAAAATGTTCTGTTCCCCCCTGTGATGTTATAAAGTCATAGTGTTCAATTCAGCAGCGACTGTTTACCCTTTGTTTTGAGGAGAGTAGCAGTTCCAGGGCTGAAATTATCCAAATGATTCTTGTGAAGGTGTAGGGAGTTCAAAAACACAATGGAGCACTTCCTGAACTCAGCCTAAATATGCAGGCTTTGTGTGTTAAACATGTGAATGGAACAAAACACAACTCCAGGTTATTTTTGAAGAAGAAACATTATAACACAGATCCAAAAATAGCACAACATGGTCGCTTTAAGAGAGCATACTGACCCTAAACATAAAAATAGAAGAATAATGAGTTTTGCCCAGTGTCACGCCATAAAAAATGAAATAAAAATTGTGCCTCTTCCAGGTGACGACGTGGGACTGGACCAGAGCGGAGAAGAGCTTCACCGTCTACGAAATTATGTGCAAGATACTAAAGGTGAGGGCTGGGCTTTACGCGGGTCAAACGCAATTTATCTGAAGGGTCAGGGTCAAAACAGATTGATTTCTTGTCCTTTTTTCATTATTTGCGAAGCTATAAATTACCACGAATGGCACTCAATTGAAAAGACAAAACTGCTAGGAAGTGGTGTCAGCCAGTCGGATTTTTTTTAAACATAGGAAATGTTTTAACAATAGTAGGCAACATTATTAAAGGGGCCATATTACGTTATATTCTGATCTATCGTAAAATACCAAATAATAGCCTGGGTGTTTATTTGTTTCAATCACTTAACAGACCAGGCATTTATTTGAGACCAGGCGGCAGTTTGGAGCAGCTGATTAATTCCTTTGTCACAAAAATCTTCCTCAGCAACACTGGGAAGATATGGTACTCAAATTCTTTAAGCCAGTATGACTATAATTTACAGTTTTTACGGCATGCTTCAGAGGAGGCATCGCTGTTATCCTATGGCCTGGCGACTACTTTGCTACCCTGTCTATGATTCGGGATGAAAAAGTTTCAAACTTCACCAGCTTCTCGGTGAATAGATGCATCAAGAATTTCAGACTTCCGGTCATTGCGCAGTGCATACTGGGAAGGATTTTCCGAAAAAGTGAGCATCAAACAACCATGTTTGTTTTCCCAGTGGGATGCAGTCTATTGACAAAGCCAGTCTTTTCTAGTCTTTTGAACCATATCACTTTTGTTTCTGGTTCTGATATTGTCATATTTTAGTTTTGGGATTCGGACATCGTAATTGTGTGGTTGTTGGATGTCCTAACACCAGAAAACGGCTCGAGTGATTTGTTTGCAAACTCCACAAATGCAAAAGGGAATCAGATCTGTGTGACTGCAAACCTCCGTTCAAACTGTTTCCCTTCCCAATGGAATTGAAAAATAGTGAAAGGCGAAGGTGATGGGCAGTATTGATCTACAGGAAGGACAAAAAAGGTAACCTTTGACTACCTAAATCATCCTGAGTTTGGAGCAAACATTTTGTATGACAATATCAGAACCAGAAACAAAAGCGATATGGTTCAAAAGACTAGAAAAGACTGGCTTTGTCAATAGACGCATCCCACTGGGAAAACAAACATGACAGTTTGATGCTCACTTTTTTGGAAAATCCTTCCCAGTATGCACTGCCCAATGACCGGAAGTCCGAAATTCTTGATGCATCTATTCTCTTGCGTCCTTCTGGGCAATAGTTGTACGTCTTCTGCAAGTGAAGATGTTGCTGTTGTTGTTTATCTCTCCTCATCTTTGCTATCACTCACCGTGGCGTACATTTGTTTCGCCATGTCCCTGATCATTTTGCGGGACACTCTCTCGTGGTGTGCTCGTTTTCTAGTAACCCATTCCCACATGTTTAGCTCAACCCCCTCACTATCCTTCTTCCTACCTCAACCTACCCCTTCGCCGTTCTCCTCAGACCTACACTGAATGTCAGATTTATTTTTTCGCCAATCTTTCACTTTCTTTGGGTCGACAGAAAAACGTCTCACGGCTGCTTCTCCCGAGTTTTCCTCTGCATATTTTACCACAGAATGTTTAAATTTTAAGTCGTAATTTTATTTTTTCATTGCAACAGGGCTATGGCGATCAACAGTGTGGTCAAAGATGTAAAAACAAAGCAAAACAAAACAAGAGAAAAGAAAAACTTGCAGCGTCAGTGGTCACATCTTCTTCCTTGATAATTTTTTTTTTTTTAAACACATTAGACTCAGCGTTCATTTGGTATTATAGGGTATGTTATAATGTTGTTTCCTCATCAAAAACAGACCTGGAGTTGTGTTTTGTTTCATTCACACATGTTTATCTCACAAATTCTGCATATTTATGATGCAAACAGAGCTCCACTGTTTTTTTAAAGTCCATACACCTTCACTAGAATAATTTGGAATTGCAAATCTTTACTGAACAAAAAGTAAAAAGGTAGCTGTTAACTTGAAAACTACTGCTTCATAACATCACAAGGTGGAACAGAGAGTAAAAAAAGGATTACTCAGAGCTGTGTGAAACAAACTCAACTCCAGGTACGTTTTTGATCAAGTAACAGCATTATAACATGGCTTAAAGCTTAAAAGTAAAATTTGCTTAATATAGGACATTTAAATGAGGAAAAACAAGGCTGTCTGATGATGGGAAATTTCAAGTTTCAACTCAAATAACCCAGTCTAGTGTTGGACATTGTGAATTATGCATCAGTTGCATTTCATGAGCGGATTTAATTGCAGCCTCAGGACAGACTTCTAGGTAAGAGTTTTTTAGGTCAGATTCTAGTCAAATAATTAAGGACCTGAGGCTACGCTGGAGTCCATTTATTTATCTTAAAATCTGTATCGGAGAATTCTTAATGTAGAGGGGTTAAAGCCGAGCATTTAAAGACACGTAATAGTTAACTTGTGGTTTTGTTTTTGCTCTGTTTTAAGTTCTAATTGGGTGGAAATCAATTGCAAAAGTCAAAACACATTTATTCCACTTGCTCCTTGTTACTGGCGGTTCCCAAGAGGAGACAGGAGCAGTGCATAAGCTGGCCTCCACTCTGTCTTCATCCACACCACAACTAAATTATGGAAAAGTCTGTTTGGGTTGTCCTTGAAAACTTCGAGAAAACTTCCTTTATGAAATCAAAACGCAGACACAAAAAGATGGTGAACTGCTCTGCTCTGCTGCAAAACACCATTGCAGTGTTGTTGCAGTAAGGAAAATTAGATGAATTAAAAAGAGCATTTTCAGGTTTTTGTTGTTCAAGGTGCATTTTTTCTGGTCTGTCAAATGCTTTTCGTCTTGGAGATATTATTGCTTTGTCTGGAATGTTTCACAGTATGGAATAAAACCTTTCTATCATCATGGAGACCAAACTAGACCAAGTTACAGGTCAGATCTGTGGAGAGGCAATCCGCTAACAGTCAGAATGCCTGTTTTTCTAGGTATTTTTGAGCTATAAAATCCACTTGTAAAATTAATGTAAGGTTGTTTAATGTCATACTGTGGAACATTCTAGTCAGAGCAGTGACATATCCATAGAAACAAGCAGGTGATGGACCCTCAAAGTTATATAGTGCACCTTTAAATGTAGGACACTTAGGCTACGTTCAGACTGCAGACTGAAATGACCCAAATCCGATTTTTTGGCTTCTATGTGACCTGTATCTGATCTTTTAATGACAGTCTGAACGACACAGATCCAATTTTTTCAAATGCGACCCAGGCCACTTCGATATGTGCTCCTAAAACCGATACATATTAGATCTTTTGACATGCGACTTCAGTGTGAACGGCCAAAGCGCATTCATCCCACCTACACGTTATCAACAAGCCACAAACGTCACTATTCTACACTGAAGTAGGCGAAAATTGTTAATGAACTGTGTGTCACTGAAGCGAAGCACATCACCACTCACCACTCTTGGCTCCGTCTCCACATCCACACGTTCCTTTCAACGGACGTTGCTGCCACTGCCCCACGAAACACCACAAAACGAGAGGAACTTTTAAAATCTCCAGGTGCTCAATGCTGCATCCATGTTTGGACAACTTCCGTAAACACAGAGCACGCTCGCTGCGGTTGACGTCATCGTGTCTCCAGTGCACATGCGGGACACTTTTGGGCCGTTTAATGTTCACACTGGAGTCACATACAAGTCACATTTAATTGGAAATGTGAACGACCTCGCAAAAACATCAGATTTCAGAAAAAAATTGGAATTGAGCGTTAAGCCCTGCAGTCTGAACGTAGCCTAAGTTTACTCAGTATTTACAGTTAATAAATATTACTCAGACAATTTTTTTTTTTTCTGTACACAAAAAGGATGGGACAAGATTTCAGGAGACAAAATTGCCACACCTCAGGAGAAGTTCTAAAAAACAGAGCTACAATGACTAAAATATTAAAGTTTTTAAGTCCAAAAAGGCAGAGCTACAGTGACAACAATATTAAAGTTTTTAAGTTCTAAAAAGCAGAGCTACAATACAGAAAGAAAAAAATCTGAGGCCAAAATTGTGAACAAGAAAGCATAATTTATTCATTATGTCAAAATCTCATCTCATTCTCCTGAACCCAATCTTGTGTCTCATCTCACTCCTAGTAAAAAAAAAAATATTTTGGAGCAGGTTAATTACTTACAAGTTAGGTTTGTGAAGTTTTTCAGTGCAATAAAAACATAAAAACATCTCACATTGAGTTTTTGTTTTGCTTAAAAGTTACGCAGTGAGGCTTTAAAATTCAGTTCTACTCCCCGTAAGTGTTTCTATCCCACAAAGTTTTCCAACTTTATGTGACAGTTTTAGGTAGGACAGAGTAGTAATAGAATAGTGCATTGGTCTCTGTAGCAAAATGGAGAATGATGACCTCTCATTCTTATAACTCTAACAACGCACACGACTCCATAATCATTTTCAACAATCACAGATCCAGCCTCGCTTTCAGAACTCTGCTGCATTATCCCGTGAGTGCTCTCCAGACCACTCTCCTCCACCGCCTATACGTCTACTCACAACATCTGCAAACTACTCTCTCTATTTCCTATAATTACACCCTTTCTCCCCTCTCTCTCCTCTTTCTGTTCTTTCTTTCTGTCCCGTTTCTCTCTCCCCTCTCTCTTTCTGTCCCCTGTCGCTCTCTCCCCCTCTTTCCTTTCTATGTCCCCTTTCTCTCTCTCTCTCTGTCCCCTCTCCCCCCTTTCTCTCCTTCCTCTCCTCTCTCTTTCTGTCCACTCTTTCTCTCTCCCCTCTCTCTCTTTTTTCTCATCTCTCCCTCTCCCCCCCTTTCCTCTCTGTTATCTCTTTCTCTTTCTGTCCCCTGCCACTCTCTCCCCCTCTTTTTCCTTTCCTCTCCCATCTCCCCCCTCTCTCTTTCTGTCCCTCTCCCCTCTCTCCTTCCTCTCCCCTCTCTCTCCTTCCTGTCCCCTCTTTTTCTCGCCCCTCTCTCTCTCTTTTTGTCATCTTTCCCTCTCTCCTCTTTATCATCCCTCTCTCTTTCTCTTTCTGTCCCCTGCCACTCTCTCCCCATCTTTCCTTTCTATCTCCCCTCTCGTTCTGTCCCCTCTTTCGCTCTCCCCTCTCTCTCTCTTTCTGTCATCTCTCCCCCTCTTTCCTCTCTATCATCCCTCTCTCTCGCTTTCTCTTTCTGTCCCGTCACTCTCTCCGCCTCTTTCCTTTCTATCTCCCCCTTCTCTCTCTTTGTGTCATCTCTCCCTCTCTCCCCCTCTTTCCTCTCTATCATCCCTCTCTCTCTTTCTGTCCCCTGTCGCTCTCTCCCCCTCTTTCCTTTCTATCTCCCCTCTCTCTTTCTGTCCCCTCTTTCTCTCTCCCATCTCTCTCTCTTTGTCATCTCTCCCCCCTTTCCTCTCTATCATCCCCCTCTCTCGCTTTCTCTTTCTGTCCTGTCACTCTCTCCCCTTCTTTCCTTTCTAATCTCCCCTTTCTCTCTCTCTTTATGTCCTCTCTCACTCTCCCCTCACTCTTTCTGTCCCTTCTCTCTCCCCTCCTTCTTGCTCTCTTTTTCTCTCCCCCTTCTCTCTCCCTCTTCTTCCCTCTCCCTTCTCTCTCCACTCCCACTCTGTCTCTGCCTCTCACCCCTCCCTCTCTCGCTCCTTAACCATCCCCCCTCTTTCTCCTCCCTCGCTCCCCTCCTCTCTCTCCTCTTCTCACCTCTCCGTCGTTCCCTCCCTCTCGTCTCTCAGGATAACGACCTGGTGGATAAGAGGCGTCACTGCTTCAGCGTGCAGACGGAGACGGGGGAGGACTTGTTCTTCAGCGTGGAGCTTGAGTGTGAGCTGCTCACCTGGGAGAAGGCCTTCCAGATGGCCACTTTCCTGGAGGTGGAGAGGATACAGGTGACTCTTTATGTTCTTGCCAGCCCGTACAGAAGCCCTGTCATGATAATTATAATTACAACGGGCTAGTGTGAGCAGACCTATCGAATCGTGTCCAAGCACAGAAAGTTCTTAAAGTGCAGGTTGGCCAAAGCACAGCACAGTTTCTCATGTGAAGTGGACTAAGCAAGTGTGACATCACGTATAGCATTTGGCTCCAATCAAATGAAGCTCACGAGGCTGAAGGGCGAATTTGGAGCCAGTTCCATAAAAGGAGAAGGAATTTATTTACGTATAAAGCAGCAAAATAAGAACACCAGGATCATGCAGGGTGGGTTAAGTGACAGCCCGGAATATTGGACATAAGAACTTATTTCCTAGTGAGCCAGAGTGTTGGAGACGTGTGGAGACACTTTTTAAAATATTCCATCCAGTCCTTGTATTTGCAGAGGTCACTCGTGCTAGGCTAGTGCATGTTAATGGCCATAGTTAGCCTGCCACTAAAAACAGTCAAGCACCCAAAGCAAAACAATCATAACGCCAGACTGTTGATGTGAATGTCTGTGTTGATAAAATAATTTTACAAGTAAAACCAACCTTGCATTTGAAGGATTTATGTCTGAGCAGCAGCAGTGAGTTGTACTTCTTGATAGAAAACTTGGCAGCGGAGGACTGATAGCCTGAGCCATCAGTCAGTTTCACTTCATGGAAACTGGTCTCGACAGTAGGCGGGTACTTTTTTTATTTAACCAATCGCTGCTATTTGGTTGTGACATATGCAATGCGCCAAATCCCGTAGGAGGAAGGGCAATAACGTCTTTCCCTTTGATAAAATTCACCAAACATTCTCTTTGTTCTGGCTTTAAATCCTCGATCTCGTGAATCACTACCAACACAGAATGTCTGACTTCGTCTACATCCATCTCGACCGCTTTATTTACTGTTGTGCTGTTCCACAAAAGGGACCCAGACAGGCGCTTGAGTTTGACGTCATGGCTTCACAGCTCTTCGCTGATTGGCCGGTGTGCGGTCTACAACTTCTTGGGTTCTTGCAAACTGTCTAGCGTATTCTGATTCCTGAACTAGTCACTGGAGAGAAATGAAATTGAGAGGAGGCACTAAGTTGCGCCTGCCTGGCTACCGGAGTGACATCACCTAGCACCTATCTTACCGGCAAAGTAAAATTCCCTCAACATGCGACAATTCCTGCGATGCAAGGTTAGTTTTATTTCAAACACATTATTCTATTGACACAGACATTTACATCGATAGTCTGGTGTAATAATAGATTTTTAGTGTCAGGATAACTATGGCCATTGACATACACTATCCTAGCACCAGCGACCTGTGCAAATACAAGGACTGGATGAAATATTTAAAGAAGTATCTTCACACGTCTCCAACACTCTGACTCACTAGGAAATGAGGTCCTATGTCAAAAATTCCGGACTGTCCCTTTAATACGAACATTTTAGGACCAAAATAACGAGGCTCACTGCAGCAGCTACAGAGAGGTGACAGTTTTTCAATGTAGAGTTGATGGAGCTGGAAGCGCCCCCATGAACACTTCCTATCTGGAACAGCGAGCACATTACCTACATCCATTTCTATCTATTGTACACACATAACTTTAGTATACGAGCTCTGTCATGCGCGCTGGTGTTACTCATCAGAGGAAAACAATGAAATGGTAACAGTAAAAACTATTGACAGTGGCAGAAGTTTTGCAGTCTCATCTCCTGTAGTCCTCGATGTTGTTAAATCCATAAACACACGGAGGAGCACGTTTCACAGCGAGACTCATATCAGGCGCACTGTTTAAGAGGTATTTCATGCTGCTGGGCTTATTTTCTACAGCGTTGGCACAGTCAAAGATGTAAACACACAGCGCAGTTAGCTGGCGTTATCAGGGAGGGGTTCAGTGTGGTTGTACAATTCTGAGTGAGGACCAGAGAATCACGTTTCAGCACGAGACAGTTCAGAAAGTCTACTGTGAGTTTGAACTTTCACTCTCAAAAGTAAAAAGTTTGTAATATAAATGTTGTGTTTTCTTCTTTTAAGACAAATTGTAAAAAACTAAAATTTGTTGCATTTCGTCTAATCGTCTAAATCTTGTTAGAAGAAAGCACACAAAGTTTTTATATAATAAGATGACAAAATTAATTTAATTTCTAAATATAATGTTGTAAAGTCTGTATTTACTATTTATATTGTGGATTCTCACTGAAGGCATCAACTCTGCATGAACACATACGGAATGTAAAAAAAAAAAAGTGTGAATTGATCCCACATTTTACTCCAAAATGCAGGACTGAAACATTTTTCCTGAGAACTTTAACAAGACCAGAAGTAAAACCAAACACGAAAATCCAAAATTCAAAATGGAACTAAAAAAAAAAAAAAAGGTGAGACACATTAGGGCATGGCAAACAATCAATACAACAGGAAGTAAAACACAAGACACATACATTTTTACAGATTTTTACAGAATTTCAAAATAAAACTTGATGTGGACTTGGTTTGAGACTTTTTTGGTCCTTGTTCAGTCCTGGTCTAGTTCAGGTTTAGTTTTGGGTCCAGAATTTTGGACATAGGACTTCAATAAAATATTTCATCCAGTCCTTGTATTTGCAGAGGTCACTGGTGCTAGGCTAGTGCATGTCAATGGCCATAGTTAGCCTGACACTAAAAACAGTTTTACCCACTCCACAAAACACTCGAAGCAAATCTATTATTACACCAGACTCTCGATGTAAATGTCTGTGTTGTTAGAATAATGTTTAAAATAAAACTAACGTTACATTGAATGAGTCGTCACATGTTGAGGGACTATTTTCTCAGCTGCAGCGGAATTTTACTTTTCCGGTAAAATATCAGTCCACTGCTGCCAAGCTTTCTATCAGGAAGTACAACCCACTGCTGCTGCTCAGACATAAATCCTTCAACTGCAAGGATGGTTTTACTCCTAAAATGATTCTATCAACACAGGTATTCACATCAATATTCTGGTGCAATAATAGATTTGCAACTGTTTTTAGTGTGAGGCTAACTATGGTCATTGACATGCACTAGCCTAGCACCAGCGACCTCTGCAAATACAAGGACTGGATGGAATATTTTAAAAAGTGTCTCCACACGTCTCCAACACTCTGGCTCATTAGGGAATGAGGTCCTATGTCCAAAATTCCAAACTACCAGTTCCTTTAAGTCCTGGTTTAGTCCCACTTTCCTGTTTTAGAGTTATCATGTCAACAGTATAAAGTACTTTCAACATGATCCTTTATCTTGATGTTTTTCTGTAGCTATATATGGCACTTCAAACTCTGTTATGACAAAACTACCATATAACACTGTGTACTTTGTGATAACATCTTCGTCTCTTCGTCTTTGTGTTGTCCAGTGTAAGACATACGCGTGCATCATGGAGAGTCACCTGATGGGGCTCACAATAGACTTCAGCATGGGCTTTGTGTGCTTCGACGCTGCCTCCAAGGTGAGTGAAGAGAAGGGGAGCACTTTGGGTCATGTTAATACCGGGACAATGGAAGCAAAAAACATCAAATTTTCTCCAGGACATGATAAAATACCTAGATATTGTTGAATGTATTGTTGTGGCGCGGTGAGGATCTGTTTTCATGAATAATTTGAATTTATACACACGAAATGAGTCTGTTTTCTGGTTGAAATGCTGTTTGTCAATGCCAATTTCGTCAGATTGCAGAAGCTAAGCAAGACCGGGCCTGGTTAGTACTTAGATGGGAGAACGTACCTGGAGTTGTGTCTTGTTTCATTCACATGCGTTTGAGTGACCCTTTATTATTAGTTTGTCAATATCTCCAAAACTCAGAATGCTTTGTTCCACCTTGTGATGTAATGAAGATGTTGTTTTCAAGTTAACAATGACATTTTACATTTAGTTCAGTGGAGATTGGCAATGCCAGAGCTGAAATGATCCAAATGATTCGAGTGAAGGTGTGAAGTTTAAAAACACAGTGGAGCACTTCCTGTATTACCACATGACATCACAAGATGGAACAGTGTTTTCCGTTTGAAAGAAGAACTCAGCCTAAACATGCAGAGTTTATGTGTTAAACATGCGTGAATGAAACAAAACAACTCCAGATATGTTTGTGATGAGGAAACAACATTATTAGACTGATTGATCAGCCGTCTGACCTCGCCCTGACCTTAAGATTTTTTCACTTGATGGAAGGCGGGTACTTTTTTTTATTTAATCAATCGGTGCTGTTTGGTCGTGACATATATAATGGGCCAAATTCCGTACAAAGAAGGGCAATAACGTCTTTTCCCTTGATAAAATTCACCAAACATTCTTTTTGTTCAGGCTTTAAATCCTCGATCTCGATCACAGAATGTATGTCTTCGTCTACATCCATCTCAACCGCTTTTCTGTGTTGAGTCGCTGTTGTGCTGTACCACAAAAAGGACCCAGACAGGTGCTTGAGTTTGACATCATGGCTTCACAGCTCTTCGCTGATTGGTTGGTGCACGGTCTCCAACTTCCAGGATTCTTAAAACCCATCTAGTGTATTCAGATTGCTGACCTAGTCACTGGAGAGACATCAAATAGAGTGGAGGCACTAGGTGGCGCCTGCCCGGCTACAACATTATAACATACATCGTAAAACTGCGCAATATAGGGCATTTAAACAAGAGAATTGGCGATAGAGACAGATTTATGTATGGAGTATTTTAGTTTATGGGGAGTAGCTGACTTGTTTTTCCTACGTCATTGTTCTTTTAAAATTCTTGATGCTTTTAAACATCAAAGCACAAGCCTAAATTGATATAAGAAACAAGAGTAGTGCACAGGGCTTTTTGCATTACTGGATGGCATTCAGATTACTCCCCAATATTGCTTCTAATGCTTTCTGTGCTTTGAATACAGCTAATGAACCCTTTGAACAATAGTAAAGACAATAGTTGTACGGTTGTCAGTGTTGGTTTCTCACTTCAGGTTAGCTTTGTCTATGTAATCCAGCTGCTTAGAACCAAAGATCCTAGAGTAGCTCCCTCAAAATAGAGATTTGTTTTTGTTTTAATAAAAAATTTAATTCTGGTTTCTGAAGTAAATTTCTCATAAATTTTAGACTTTCAGAAAAAAGTTAATATTAAAAATTTGAAATCTTGCTCAAGGCTAATACGCTACCAGGTAACTAATGACCACAAGACCTATAATTTGATGTATTATTAAATCTTTTTCTGAAACTTTATAAACTACCAAGTACTTTGTGTAACTTTTATGGTGAAGGATCCATCAAATACTTTTCTTCATGGAGATGTTATGGTTTTGTCTGGAATGTTTCACTGTATGGAAACTTTTCTACCTTCATGGAAACCAAACCAGACCAAGTTACAAGTCAGATCTGCGGAGAGGCATGCCCACACACAGTCGCAATGCCTATTTTTCTTGTATTTTTGAGTTTTAAAACAACCTGTAATTTAATAAATATAAGGTAGAGCTGTTTAATGTCATACTGAGAAACATTCAACATAGAACATATAAACAAGCAGGTGACAGAAACCACAAAGTTACATAATGCACCTTTAAAGCATTTGGCAGAATCTTGAGTTTTAAATGTGCTTTTTGCCTGAACTCTTCATTTTCGAAAAGCCTATGAGAAAATTAATGGAAAATTACTTCAGAACCGGAGCGTTTCTGAAATTATGGTACTTCAAAAACTGCAGCCTTTGCGAATTGTGTCCAGTCAAATCAAAACTTCTATTTGATTGTGATTAATCTTGTATTTATGTAATGACAGAACTATATATAATGTAGAAACAGCCCCAGGACTTGTTTTGCATTCTATTTTCTATGTGATGACAGCCATAAGAAATGCATAGGATAAATTGGTAATTGACTTCATGCATAAGTAGACTACATTTATAGGGTCCATATTATGCTGTTTTCTGTTATTATAATGTTGTTTCCTCGTCAAAAAACATACTTGGAATGTGTTTTGTTTCTTTTACACATGTTAAACACACAAATCATACATATTTATTTAGATTTCTTCTCTCAAACAGAAAACTTAAAACAGATCTTCACTAGAATTATTTGGGTGATTTCAGACCTGTTATTGCCAATCTTTACTAAACAAAAGGTAAAGGCAAACATGCAAACTGCAGTCAAACTACAGCGGACCTACAGGCAAACTACATCTGAACTACAGGCAAACTAGAGCCAAACTACAGCCAAACTACAGCCGACCTACAGGCAAACTACATCTGAACTACAGGCAAACTAGAGCCAAACTACAGCCAAACTACAGCCGACCTACAGGCAAACTACATCTGAACTACAGGCAAACTAGAGCCAAACTACAGGCAAACTACAGCCGACCTACAGGCAAACTACAGACAAACTAGAGCCGACCTACATGCAAACTAGAGCTAAACTACAGCCAACCTACAGGCAAACTACATCTGAACTACAGGCAAACTAGAGTCAAACTACAGCTGACCTTCAGGCAAATTTCAGGTGAACTACAGCCAAACTATAGCCGACCTACAGGGAAAGTACGGCTGAACTACAGGCAAACTACAGCTGAACTACAGCCGAACTACAGCTGACCTACAGGCAAATTACAGCTAATCTACAGGCAAATTACAGCTGAACTACAGGCAAACTACAACTGAAGTACAGACAAACTAGAGCCAAACCTGCAACCGACCTACAGCCAATCTAGAGCCAAACTACAACCAAATTACAGTCGACCTACAGGCAAATTACAGCTGAACTACAGGCAAACTACAACTGAAGTACAGGCAAACTAGAGCCAAACTACAGCCAAATTACAGTCGACCTACAGGCAAATTACAGCTGAACTACAGGCAAACTACAGGTGAACTACAGGCAAACTAGAGCCAAACTACAGGCAAATTACAGTGGACCTATGGGCAAATTACAGCTGAACTACAGGTGAACTACAGGCAAACTACCACTGAACCACAGGCAAACTACAGCTGCACTACAGACAAATTACTGGCAAACTAGAGCTAAACTACAGCCAAATTACAGTCAACGTACAGGCAAATTACAGCTGAACTACAGGTGAACTACAGCTGGACCACAGGCAAACTATAGCCAAACTATAGCCGAACTACAGTCAAATTACAGCTGAACCACAGGTAAACTACAGGTGAACTATAGCCAAACTACAGCCGACCTGTAGGCAAAGTACATCTGAATTTTGAGCTTTGGAGATGTAGACAGATGAACACTAAAGGATTAGTCAAACATGTTTTTGATAAGATAACAACATGAGGACATTGCTTAAAGCTCACAAGAGTCAGTTCAGCGAAATATAAGACCTTTAAAAAACATCTTTAATCATCTCTAATCTCAATACTAAATCTGCTTTTTTTTTTTCCTTTTCCAACTAAGTTTTTCACCAGCTGGATGAAAATCTTGTTTATGTAGCTAGCTCCAAACACTCACACTCACCCCAGCAAAAATGTCAAACTAAAAATGACAAAGTTTAGATAGAAAAACATAACAGAAAGAGAAATATCCCAAAGATGTAATGGCCCACTACTATAATGCCTCTTATCATCCAATTGCAAAAACACAAGAGCTTACATCTATAATCTATAACTGCCGAGAGGAGCTCTACTTCAAACAGCCATTTTATTTCAAAGGGAGCAGTATTTTGTAAGATACTTGCACTTAGATAATTTATTCCTTGCAAAGTTTTAAGTACACTCTGGATTTGGAAAGCACAGAAGGTCACAGAGATCAAACCGGCCGTAAATGGGGCTAGTAAAATGTGATTATAAAGGCTAAAGTATGTAAAATAATAGTCTGTATCATTAGGCCGATGGAGGATGTTCAACTTTATATGAGCTGTTTAAAAATAATTTTGGTTCAGACCCAAGCTACTCTGAGTTAAGTGCAAGACAGATCTATAAATAAAACACACTTACTTCTCAGTGTATAAGGTAATCTATTTTTTATTTTTTTGTGTGCATTTTACTGGGATAACGTTGCCTTCATCCTTAAAAGTATCCTCCCTCTTTAAGTATTAGCAGTGACAAAGTAGTTTGGCTTGATAACAATGCATTAGTCTTGTATAAGTCTTGGGGCCACAACCTGAAGATCAGAAGTTTAGAAGTTCTATATTAAGCAGAACTGACTCTTGTGAACTTTCAGCCATGTTATAATGCTGTTACCTCCTCAAAAACATACATGGAGTTGTATTTTGCTTCATTCACAAAATGCTCTGTTCCACCTTGTGATATCAAGAAGTGGTAGTTTTCAAGTAAATAACTACTTTTTACCTTTTGGTAGTGTTGTAGTCAAGACCAAGACCTGTCCAAGACTACAGGGTTCCACGACCAGGACAAGGCCAAGACCTCAGAGGGTCAAGACCGAGACAAGACCAAGACTTTTAAAATTCAAGACCGAGACAAGACCGAGACCAGATCGAGACCACCTTTGTCATTTTCTAAATTTATTTGTATTTTACTGTT